ATTTTTTACAAAAATAAAGCTTTGCTACAATTGAATAAATTGCGATTGTTTATGAAGTAGTAAGTTTTAGTATTTGAGCTAATTTTAATAAAATCCGAAATCGATATTTTAGGCCGATTTTCGATTAATGGATTGGATTTCGATTTTAATCCAAATTATGGACACCCCCAATGGATGCTTATAATCATTCACAATAAAACGCAACTCGATTTTAATCCAAATTATGGACACTCTTAATTCACAAGCATTAAATAATCACTCTTAAGACTCAATGAAGAATGTAATATGATTTATAGTAAGGTTTATTTAACTTATTCAACTTATCTATAAGGGTGTTTTGTTGTTTAGGGTAAGGAGTTTAGGGTTTAGGGTTTGGGGTTAGGGTTTAGGGTTAAGAGTATTTTAGGGTTAAGGGTATTTTAGGAAACACGAATATTGCTTATAAAAGGAAAGATTTGTAAGCGACACCTTACACAACATAACCTCATTTCTTTCCTCTCTGACTTATTTTTAAAAATTTAAAAACTAAAACTCAACCAAGAACTCCACGTTCCCAATCAACCCAACAATGGCTTCGTTTGACCCTGCTAACCCAGTTTTCCTTCGTGGTTGCTATCTCATTCCCACCACAGATGAAATGTGTTTCTGGGAGCCAACTTCGATGGGAAACAGGAAATCGACTTCAACAAATACAAGTATTATGTTGAAACCGAGAGTAAGTTGCTGTTACGCCTGAAAGATGAAGTGTTGCGCGACATCTTTTGCAGCCCAGAAAGTCCATGGAGGATAAGCTGAAGGGGATGGTAATGGTTTCTCCTAAAGGTATTAAAACACCATCCCATATCCCCAATTTGTTTGACATAGTGGGTCGAATTAATGTTAATGAAGTGTTTGTTAAGCTGCATAATTTTAATTTTGAGTTCCCATAGTCTAGTAACACAAAACTTATTCCTAAGTTTCCGCAAGGAATTGTTGACCCAGAACCTATTCTAGACTTTAATGGACCAGTTTATGCCTTAGATGACAGTAGTTGAAAATTGAAATGGGATGTTACACTGATGGTCTTCAAATTTTTTACCTATTTTCTCCTCTGACCCATATTGACTTTTCTGTAGCAATTGGGAGGTCTGATTCCCACACTTGTGATAGGTATTCTGAAGTGACCTTAATGCCTGAAATTATGAAAGGAGAGTTAGCCTTTGATGTAGGTTCAAGATGTATTACATGGAATGCTAGGGGTGTTACTAGGCCGTCATTTGAGTCCAACTTTAAGAAGATGATGGATATTCACAATCCTGTTGTTGTCATTGTTACTGAGGTCCGTGTTTCTGAGATTAACTTTGGGAAATTAGTTGGAAGTTTAGGGGATCAATTGGGCTGGAATATTGATGAGAGTGTGGGATTGAAAGATGGGGTGATCTTTATGTGGGATAAGCGCAGGGCGGAAGAAGACGAAGTCATGGTGGTCGGTTCTGCTAGCTGCCCTCTTCGTGTTGTTGCCTTAATCAAGGTTATTTGTTTTATCTTAATCTTTTATGAACATATTGAAATAGACTTAGTATCTAATTAATTTATTAAATCCTGTAAGTAATTTGTTTTATTTTTATTTTTGTTTTTTTTTTCTTATTACAGGCAAAAGCAGAAGTGGTGAGTACCCCGCCGGTTGGAGTGGAGGAGGTTGGTTCCACGTCGAAGGCTGTTGAGGTTGTGGGTTCGACTTCAAAGGCTGGCGAGGATGCGGTTAATTAGGAAAGGCTTGATTTGCATTTCGATGTTTGAATGATTTATTTCTCGACTATGGTGATTATTATGTATCCTAAAAATCCTTTCGAGGATTAGTACTTATTTTATGCTTGTTAAGTATTTAATATGCTCTCTAATGTGTTGAACAATGATCTAGTTTGTAGCTTTTATTAATGGTTAATGTATTAGTAGTAATGTTGTGTTGAAGATTGTGTTATTGAGTTGACTATTTTCATTTTTTATTTAACCAAATATGATATATTAACATGTCGTATGTTAGACAAATAACTCATTTATATGGACTTGATTTTTATTTTTTTAAAATTAATCCAAAAATGATATATTAACATTCTTTATCTTAAACAAAATACTGATTTATATGGACTTGTTTTTTTTTTTTAAATAGTTTTGATTAATCCTAATATGATATATTAACATGCTTTATCTTAAACAAATAACTCATTTATATGGACTTGTTTTTTTTATTTTAAATAGTTTTGATTTATCCTAATATTATATATTAACATGCTTTGTCTTAAACAAATAACTTATTTATACGGACGTGTTTTTTTTTTAAATAGTTTTGATTAATCCAAAAATGATATATTAACATTCTTTATCTAAAACAAAATACTGATTTATATGGACTTGTTTTTTTTTTTAAATAGTTTTGATTAATCCTAATATGATATATTAACATGCTTTATCTTAAACAAATAACTCATTTATATGGACTTGTTTTTTTATTTTAAATAGTTTTGATTTATCCTAATATTATATATTAACATGCTTTGTCTTAAACAAATAAATCATTTATACGACGTATTTTTTTTTTAAAAATAGTTTTGATTAATCCTAATATGATATATTAACATGCTTTTTCTTAAACAAATAACTCATTTATATTAAAAAATACCAAATCCCATATATAAACTTCTTGATTTTTTTTTTTTAATCCAAATATGATGTTTTAACAAGGTTTATCTTAAACAAATCACTGGTTTATATGAACTTGATTCTATTTTTGGACTGACAAAGAAAAAGTGAATAACAACATGGAATGAAATTTAGAAACAACAATAAGATCTAGGAATGTCACATTTAAGAGTTACAACCATCTGATTTGAAATTGTGCAAGATAGTAGTGGCCCTTAAAAAACCCTCTTTTTAGCTAACTAGTTTGATTGTGATGTAACTAATTAAAAAGGAGATAATTGCACAAATAAGCATTACATTCCCAAATTGATTACAATTAACTATAGTCATCCCAGTCTTCTTCTTGAGTTGATCATTCTCTTGAACAAGCCTTTTAATTTCATGCTCCATGCAAATCACCCGGCTTTTGAGGACGGTAAGATCGGTGTTGAGCTTGTGTTTTTCACTCAAAAGTACATTGGTAACATCCCTTTTCCAGTCTGACATATCTTCGTCATACCATTCAAAGTAATCGCAGCCCCGTTGGCCTGTTTCAAAGTTGTAGAACTTGTATGCCAAGAATCTCCTACTAGGATTATCATGAGTCCATGAAGTTCTCTTTGAAATAGGGAGGCCACAGTTACATTTTTTACCTCTATGTGCCATTGCAAGAGAAACAATGGTAAAATGCTAATGTGTAGAAAATAGCATATAAAGTTGATAAGTTGAAGCTAGAAGTTGTTAAATGCAGAAACCATATAAGTAACAAACAAGCAAAAGAAAGAAAGTTGTCTGATTTATGCACCACCATTTAATGGAAAAGGGAATAAAGTGTACATGGGTAATCTAAAAAGAAGATTTTTTTGCTGTACATATATCTAGGATGTAAGGACTAGGAGTAGGAGTAGGCAGTAGATGAGGTAGCTTGTATTGCACTAAATCAACCCCTATTGGTGTTTTCATTTGTTATTAATTTAATTTATTATTATTTTTTTAATAATCTTTTTCTAACGAGTCCTTGAAAATTATGACGGGTGCCTCGATTAAATACATCAACCAGCCGTAATTAATTTCGTAACACAAACTATACCATTAAATATTAAAGTTATCATTAATTATTAAAGTTATACTTATAATTGATCAATATTTCATAAAAAAAATACAAATATGACTGTAAAAACTCACCTTCTAACATTAATTATTCATTAAAAGTAAAATTTTAATTTTACTTTTATATTTTATATTTTATTACTCATCTATTTGACAAACTTCGTGCTTTATATACTTTCATTAATATTTTTATACACCAATATCAATGCACGTTTCTAGATTTGTTTTTCCAGACCGACCTACAAGTATAATGGACCAAAGTCCATATGGATGTATAAATGTTCCTCGATCATGGGCTAGATGAATTTGTTTGAATGGGTTGGGGTATTCGCAGATTAACAATAATGAATCAAAAGCAAAGACACAGCATGAAGCAAATTGTATCAGAAAAAACTAACCCATTTCAAGAATAAATTCCAAATTAACAATAATGAATCAAAAGCAAAGGCATAAGCCAGCAAGAAGCAAATTGTGTCGGAGAAAACTAATCCCATTTCCAGATTAATTTCAGGATTTACCAATAATGAATCATAAGCAAAGGCACAAGACAACATAAAGCAAAATTTATCAGAGCAAACTATAACTAAAGTATCAGAGCAAAACGTGTCAGACCAAACTGCAAACTAACCCAAAATGTATCAGAGCAAACTGACCCAAAATGAATCCGAAGCAAAATGAATCAGAGCAAACTAACCCAAACTGAATCAGAGCAAAATGTATCAGAGCAAACTAACCCAAAATGAATCATAAGCAAAGGCACAAGCCAGCATGAAGCATATTGTATCAGAGCAAACTAATAGAGTCAATTATGATTTTACTCAATCCTAATTGAGTCAATTCTAATACACTACTCATAGCACAACAAATACATCAATAACTTCGGCATTGTGAATCACAAAAACCATAGATACAATCCTAAAAAGATGATGATTGATTCATGAGAGTACAATCCTAATAGAGCCTTGTTGTTCATCCAGCCATCTTAAGTTATAATTTCAGAATTCAAAAGAATCCTCACCGCTTTCTGTGCCAATAACATCCATTTGAGGAGTACATTCACTGTCATCGTCATTAACATTCAGCTCCATGTTCTCTTCCACACCATGTTCTTCCAGCCAACGTTTCCTTATTTTCTGTCAGAGAGGAATGTATTCATGAAGAACTAACAACAATCACAAAAATAGAAACTTCTAATGTCGAATAAATACAACCTTAACTGATAAAAGAGCTTACCATTATATTCCCATTAAAAGACGATGGGTAGTAGGTTTGAAGAATAAATTGAGCAGCAGGCTCCAAAATAGCAAGCAATTAATCTTTTCAAGTGCACTAAACTGATAAAATATAAAGGATTGAAATTAAAACGAAGCAGACATCGGGTTGTTTCTCCTTTGGCTATGCCTTTTTGTAGCCCATTCTGCAAGGTTTTTGTTCCTGCTACCTTTTGGTCACCCTCTACGCTTCTTCTGTACAACTGGGTCAAGAATAATCGACTTATTTGGGGCAGTAGGTGGTGCATGTTGTTGAGACCAATGGATGTTATCAGCATCAACAGAGAGGTCTGTAACATGTTCTTGGCCAGCTGCAGGAGTGTCATTAGAGTCAGGGGGGTTGTCTGGTTTTTGTACTGAAGCAACTGTTGACCCCACACAACATGACTGTTTCTCTACTTGAGAGCCATCAGTAGGAAAGTGAGTAACCTCTTCAGCTTTGTTGAGAAGATCTTTCTTCTGCTTCAACGCTGCTACTTCACCCTGCAGCTTTTTTAGAGAAGTCAGCACATGGTGAACGGCTTCATCGTCAACAGAGGCAGCAAGATCAGATATAGTCTCAAAAGTGGTTAGCATTTTATAGGATCTCTTGACTTGTGCCGAGTGAGAGGGATCATGGTATGGGACTTTAACCCTTGTATGCCTCCGATTTACATCCTTCCGCCACCTCGTAAGTATATATTTCTCAGGTATATCAAAAACCAAGTTCTGATCAAATATCCGGAACATATGTTTGCACAAAATCCCAAATGTTTCAAATTTCCGGCAATCGCATGACACTTCTTTGGTCACACTGTCAAACGTGACACGGTAGAACCTTCGGCGATCAGTTATTTTCTCCTCCATGTATCCTTGTGGAACAATCCATACTCTATCTTTAACCAGATACTGAACAACTGTGTTGGACAACATTTTCTCATCACGACAATAGCAGTACAAGAGTCTTGAAAGCTCAGTCTGTATTTCTTGAAATTTTGTGTTAGTGTAAATCTGTTGAAACAGCTCCTCCGGCTTGAACCCACTCACCATCCTACGAACATACTTTGACCAGTTGTCATCCGCATCAGTTTCATCGTTGACGCGTTTGGTCATTGCTCTGTTGTATTGTCTAGGAAATTTATGTAACTTGGTTTTTCGATTCACAAAGCCGTAAAAAAAACTGTTGATGCTCTCCACTCTTTGAGTAGTTTTCATACCAGCCCAAAAGTAATCTTTCATGAAGGTCGGAACCCACATGTGTCTCTCTTTGAACATATAAGTCAACCACTCATTATTTTCCAGCTTGTAGTACTTAATCAATGCAACCCAATTCTCCTCAAACTCATCCACAGTGAAGCTTTCATATATCACAGTTTTCAGCTTATTTTTAAACTCTAATCAATGTCAAAAATTTATAACCACAACCAAAAAAAAAAATTAAAATTAATACATCATCATCACATATGTAATTAAACATATTATAGTAAATGAGGGAATAGTAGCAAGTAACTTGAGCACTAAACTTGCACTAAACATATTAAACTAAACTTGAGCACTAAACTGATGTATAGTAGCATATAATATTAAGTGAAATATGGACTATACAAAACCATATGTGATTAAATAACCTAACTTTCACTATATCAAATTGTAGTTAATAACTTTGTCCAACAAATGACAAATGTAATTAAATATAATATTTAAACATATAACTTGCACTATATCAAATTGTAGTTAATAGCTTTTTCTTCTTTTATTCATACAGTGAGTCATAAAGTGAGTCAAAGAGAAAATATTAACTAGATTTAGAGGTGAACAAGGACATATACTGAGGCTTTCAAATGGCAGCTGATTCACAGTTACTAACAATATCAATTTCAGTAGTGTAGACACCCATTTGTGTCTCCCAAAAACCAAACCCGGTGATGAGTACCTTTCACGTCGAATCATAATCGAATGAAACGAAAGTGTGGAAGGGTCTAGTGTTGCGGAAAGTTTTATTTCTTTTCTCTTCTCCCTGTTTTTGAAAACTTTATTTTAAGAAAACAGCCAATCCAGTTTGGTTGGTCCATGATATGGGTCCAATAGTGGTGTAGTTGGATGGGGCTTTCAAAGACCTTTCCAACGATATATTATAAGCCCAATTCCGATGAATATTGAGGAATTTATGGCCAATTTACTAAACTGGGCCCGGTTTGAGCTTTAAGTACGGCCCAATGATCTAGGGGAGGGCCTAATATGATTTATCATTCCTAATGTAATTAGGAATGGTTTTAGTCTTCTAGAACATTCTAGAAGGTTCTTTTCATTCTTATTCAATTAGGATTCTTCAGAGTTTTAATTGAGATCAAATAGCATTTTCGACTGAAATTATATTATTTTATCTTCTAGTACGGGAAATTTATCAGATTTTCGAAAACGCGTTGAAATCCAATTTGGCGTCCAACCCCAGGCCTTGGCGCCTGGAATCAGGATTGGCGCCAGACGCCAGCCATTGGCGCCAAGGTGGTTTTTTTTATCTTCAGACTCTGTTTTGTTAAATTATCTTTTTTGGATGATTTTCTCTATAAATATCGTATTAAAAACTCCGTTTCATTCATCATCTACATCTATCATTCACCAATTCTCTTTATTCTTAAGTCTTCATCAACTATCTTCATCATTCACCAATTAGCATTCATCTAGAGTCAAATAATCCTTTTCATTCATCTCTTTTCATCAGTTTTCATTAACATTCATTCTTTCTTTTTTTAAACTTTGCTTTTTAATACAAAATCCCGCATTCGCAAGATCTAGATACAGCTAGCCATATTCGAAGTTGCCTTTGCCCTAGACGTGAAAGGTTTTAATTTCTGAGGGTTTGGTCCCAAATCTCTCTTTCAATTATTTAATTTAATTGTTTTGATTATTATTTTCCTTGAAGTTACTAACGTGTGTATTTTGTTATTAGAAAGAGGTACGAGGCATCCAAGTAAGTACTTTAATTGATTTTAATTGATATTATGATGTAGATATCATGCTTAGATTGTTATTTTGATTCCTAGTATCATGTCTAGGGTAACTTTAATATCAAGTATGATTAAAAGTACGATGCTTCCTATATTCTTCCTAATATTTATGATTGCTAGTATCATGTTAGGGCTAAAGAATTGATTTTTATTGCTTAGTGACATACTAGGATTTGTTATTAATCTTGTTAGTATCATGCCTAGGATCTTGCTATTTTTATTATGCTTTAATATTAACATGAATATGATTATGATTATAATGATTATAATGATTATGAATATTATGATTATTATTATTCTTCATGATTATTATTGATTATGTTGCTTGATATATTATTTATTCTTTATTGCTTGATCACACCTTTGATGCATGTTTAAAGGGAATTGGTACTTGTAATCACGCTTAATAAGATAATTAATAATCTTGTTAGGTTAACTTTGATTATAATTCAAGTGATCGCCAATAATAGTTTATTTGTGCATTAAATTCAACCAACATAGATTAAACAGGTTTAGGGTTAATCCTATTGATTGTATGTTAGTCAGAAAGTGCACATGAATACGAGCAGAATAAAGTAGAGGCCTATTATTAGGGCAGGTTCAATCTCTTTTAGGTTGGATTTGTACCATCATCCCCGAACCCTTATTTGGTTCATGACCTTATGGAGTTGGCGATCTCTTGGATCGTTAAGGGGTGTAACCTTCATCTTATGAATGGTTTACAAGTTCCTTAAAAACTTGTTGGCGACTCTTTTGCTCTATCTTCTTCCCTTTTGGACTCCACCGTACTTTAGTGTATGATCACAGTGGGGTTCAAGCTAGTGGGATTTTAAAGGCTTGAAACTATTCCCTACAAGTTGTCATTAGTGTACCCTTTGCTACCACTAGCTTTAGTTGCTTAACACCATAATGTGAAAATATATTAACCAAAAACCACATACTTTACTATATATAAGCTAATCTCAAACAATATTAATAAGACAACCTGACATATCAAAGTTAAAGACTTTAATAAGATCACTTACTTCGGGCATTTGCCAAGCTTGTCACCAAATTTCGACATAATATGCCAGATGCACCACCCGTGTATAGTGTTCGACATAATTTCTTCCAACGGCTTACGCATCGCAGTAGCTTGGTCTGTAAGGACACCGACCGGGGCTTTATTCCCCATGTAACAAAGCCACTGCCGAAAAATCTATCTGAACGTATCTGAGTCCTCATGCGACACCAATGCACACCCCAATAGAATAGACTGTCCATGGTGATTGACCCCAACAAAACAAATGGCAATTCATACTCATTAGTCAAGTATGTAGCATCAAAACACACTACATCCCCGAAATACTCATAAGCAGCTCGACTACGAGCATCAACCCACAACACATCTTTTAACCGACCTTCATCATCTAAGCGATTAGCATGAAAAAAATTCTGACTATCGGCCATCATATACTCAAAGTATGACATCATAGCATCCGCATCCCCACCTTCCATCCTAAGGCGACGCTCCTTGTAAACCTCATGTTGGAAATCCTTCACCATCAAAGACATGTTCTCAACCCCTCCCATTTCAAGGGCAGTGCAGCCATGGAAACTAGACGCGGGTACCCCCTCATCATAATAATTGATCAACCTCTTCCTAACAGTGGATGTTAGCTGCTTCATTCTATACTCTTTCACCAACTTCGCTCCGTTTGGGATTAAATCATGGTTGTGCTCCAAAATAACAGATCTCAACTGCCAGTCACCATCTTCGTTAACACTAGCATAAATCTTAGCACCACACTCACATTTTTTGGACTTTCTTTTGCAACGATTCAACTCATTCTCCGCAATAACCCCTCTAACTAAATTACTGCAACCAGCAACTTCCATTGAATTAGCCCTCTTCTTCGCCGCTCTCGCTGCTCTCATGTCCGGTCTCCCCCAACATTCATACCTTCATGTAGTCCCCCTCATATCCCTATCCTTCTTAGAGAAAGAACCTTGAACCCTCTTGACACCAAACCCCATCTGTTCAGCATATTCCTTATAATAGGCTTCAACATCCTGCAAAGTTTTAAAAATCATGTCCTCCTTAGGTTCCTCGACTACACTAACAACACTGATTTTGTTACTAGATACAACAGTGTGCACAGTCTGTATTGTACAGGTAGGGGTCCTATAACAAGTTTGACCACCTGGAACACAACCATCAAGTCCATCTTCAATTGTTGTTTGTTTAGATGCATGTGCAATTAGGTCCATACATTTCATGTCAGGAGAGTTCCCAAGTTCCATACAACCATCATCTCCTTCTTTATGTGGCATTACTTCCACACCTATACCACAAACATCCACTCCACTTCCCTTATCAAGTTTCTCCATTATCTGAACATTATAGGAGGTCTCATTAATAATCAAGGTTCACCATCACAAGTTAGGACACAAAAAAATAGGACACCTTAACTTTGTATTAATGTACAGAAAATGCAATTGTACATATAATGCAACACTTAAATAGGACACCATAACTTTGTAATATTGTACAGAAAATGCAACTATAAAATAGGACACCATAACTTTGTAATATTGTACAGAAAATGCAACTATAAAATAGGACACCATAACTTTGTAATATTGTACAGAAAATGCAACTATAAAATAGGACACCAAACTTTGTACTATTGTAAAGAAAATGAAACTATAAAATAGGACACCAAACTTTGTACTATTGTAAAGAAAATGGAATTGCACAGAAAATAGAACATGCAACACTTAAAAGGAACACCATAACTTTGTAATGTACAGAAAATGTAATTGTACAGATAATGCAACACTAAAAAGGAAGACCATAATTTTTTGTTTAATTGTACACTAAAGGAAAAAAATATAAAATCTTGTCGAGAAATTGTATTTAAATTCAACACTCAGGAAGAAAGAACTAGGAAACACAATTGTCGGATTTTCATATTTAAGGGTCAAAGTCCATCCCTAATCTGAAAATATGAAAAACATATAAATGAGCAGACTCAACACCCCAACAATACCAAAACCAATTACCACTACCCTACAATTCTGTAACTGGGTAATACATGAACATCAATATCGCAAAACACCCAGATAATTCAAATACGCTTACATTGTATGTTCTAATTACATACCTTTTTTTATTAAGCGAACCAGCTCTAGCTTCAGTGAATTGACATCTTCGAGCTTCAATCGACAATCGGGCAGCTGAAATTTACTATGACGATATCACAAATTTGAGGTAATAAAATTAGGGCTTCGACTTCTCCATTATTTCTACAATTCAATCTCTGATTTGGGGAAAAAAAAAGAAGATAGACTGCAACTAACCATGGTTAGCATTTACAAAACGTTCACCAAAAAGTAACAAACGGCCGTTTTGATTTTGAAATAATTACAACATTGCCATCCGATTAACAATTTATGCTTATCGTGGAGATAAACTGGGCATTCCTCATTGGAAATATAATTGACAGAAAAGAAAAGGTGAAGATTCATACCGGATTAGTTGATGAATTTAGATGATTTTTACATTAATGAACTTTGATGGTACTCGTAATTCCAATAATTACTGAGTTGTAGTAAAGGTTTTAGAGACTAGAGTCAGAGAGTGGGAGTAATTGCCGAGTAAGGTTTAAAGTTTTAAACATGACAACAAAATGGTTCAGCCCAGCACAAGCCACTTAAAGCATCTCCCGTGGAAGGTTACAATGCTTTGTTGCTTTTTTACATCAATTTTTAAGCTACAACACTTTTTAGCAATAAAGTGCTCTAATGATAAGCAATAATATCTTTTAGTTAGCGAAAAAATAAAATCATATAACTAATATATAAAGCTAAACTTTTAGCCAGACCACTTGGCATTCCAACTTTTCGCCAAATGTCGCGCCACCTTGGATAGATTTAAAAAGACTTCATATGATAAAAACCGTCAATTGTCGCGCCACCTTGGATAGATTTCATAAGATAAAAAAAATTAGGTAAGAATTCTATTTTCAATCAAATTATGATATAATTTTAGAATAAGATTATTAGTTTATAGTTATATTTTCGATAAAAAAAACCAAATAATAAATTTATAATTAGGCCACAAGACAACATCATTTAGCGTTTTATTTTTTCGCAAGTATCATACCACGTTGGATATATATAGATTGACGTTGTAGCAAAAAGAGTTAATTTAGACTTCTATTTTCAATCAAATTGAATTATAATAGTAGTATAATTTTATCTTAAAAAGTCCATAAACTACCCGGGTATCGCCGGGGCACAAAGCTAGTTTTATAAAATAAATAGATAGTTATACAAATGTTATAATATGAGTGGAGTTTTTTTTTTCTTTCTTTTTTTTTCAATCAAGCACGTAGCTTGTTTGGGCTACATTATAGCATCTCCAATGACAAGCTACAACACATTGTAGCTTGTTTTGGCTCGTCAGATTTTAAAACTACAAAGGTTAAAGTTACAAAGTTTCACATTGGTTGGCTATAATACTTTGTAGCTTGCGTTATCAAATATTTGTTAATTTTTTTTATATGTTTAATATTTTAGTCTATTGTTTCAAAAAAAAAAAAAATAGTCTACAGATAATATGTTTACATTTTAGTCTAAAAATAATACCAAAAAAAAAAGCTATTTATGACTGAGAAAAATTAAAATGTTTTGTATCAAAAAAAAAATAAATTGTTTGGAAAGATCATGATAAAGATCAGTGGTAGCTCTCAGCTGTGAAGGTAACTGTCAGCTGTGTAGGTAGCTTTTAGCTATCAACAAGTTGTTAATTGTGAAGATAGATACTTTAGGTATGAGTATTCGGTTAAGGAGCAGTTGACGAGATATTACATTTGAAAATCAATATTTTATAATTAATACTATAGATTAAATTTTCAAAAGCTACCTCTAAGTTCAAAAGTTAATATTTCTAAATTTTTATAAAATCTACTTTCACCACTAAAAGCTACTCAAACGCTAATGCCAAACACGCCCATAGGCCCCTAAAAAATTGAAATACATCATACACATCATGGTATCAAGTATTGTATATTTCTATCCAAAAAAAAATGTATAATTTATCCATCTATTGTTTTGCATGCCAATCTATTTTTAGTAGTATTTCATCAACTGTTGGAAATTGATTTGCATTATATTTTAAATAATAAAAAAAATTGTATTTGCTTTAAATTTCAAGCAGTGTAGCTTAACTGAGCCGTGTTGCTCATCCAAACAGGGCTACCAATGTTGTTCCAATGGTCAACTTTATGTTTTTTTTATAATTTTTAAATTTACAAGCAAGTCCTTTTTAATAAACCATTGGAGATACTCTTATAAGTCCAGCAGACCAGCACAAGAGCATGCCGATGAGCCAGTCAAATTTTATCACTTATTCTGCACAAGCACAACAAGCTGTCTCGCATTTTGGCTCGCTTATTTTTGTCCAATTTACCAAAATATATCATATTACTTCATATAGACAATATATGGAGTACTCCCTTTGTTTTTAAATACTTGCTTCATTTCTCCATTCGCGAGTTTAAGGTAAAAATAAAATATGTAGGTAGGGGGAAGAATAAAAAAATTGTAAAAAGCAAAAGTAGTCGAGAGAATTAGAGAAGAAATAATATGAAATTAATAAAATATTATTTATGTTGGGTCCACTAGGTGAGATAAATGAATTAATATTGTATAAGATTTCCAAATAAGGAAATGGAGCAAGTATTTAAAAACGGTCGAAAAAGGAAAGTGGAGAAAATATTTAAAAATGGAGGGAGTATATTATTAGAAAATTAGGTATTTAGGTGGCCTGTAAGGACTATATTGTGTAAGAGGTCTATTTGTGAAAGATCAGCACAAGCCTGACGTACAGGACACAACTCTTTCTTGCTCGTTCTAGGTACAGACCACTTAAGCATGAGACATGCTAGCATGACACAATTTGTGCCTATCTTGGCTCATAAAATACTAAATGAAATAGAGGTGTCAAAATTATAGCATGACCCAAAAAAAAAAAAATCTAATTCTTTTATGACAACCCAATATAGCCATTAATGACGTGCACAAATCATGCCACCCCGACGATGCTAGGGTCTTCGAATGCTCGTACGAGCATTCGAACGAGCGATCCTAACCATGGAACAGCAACAACAACAATAATATCTCCAAACTCCACTGCTTATCAACAATCTGTTAAGCTAGTTTCATTTGCTTTTGCTTTTTATACATTTTGGTTTTTGGTGGTATTAGAAAATCTACATAGCCAGTTGCAAATTGTTATAGATATTTTGTTATTATTATTTGTATATCTAACATACGTATATGACTTGTGATGTTAACTGATAAATTTCCAATTGAACCATGGAGTATAAAATCAAATGTATGACAATTATGCCTTAAAAACATTTAAATGAATTTGTAATCTTACCTTTAGTCTAGCTAATAGTTGGTTAAACAGTTTTAGCTGAATTAGTATTGATTTTTGACAGCCAATATTTAGCCTAGCTTACAGCTGATAAAACAAATACTCTTTATTTTGCCCCACTAAGGTTGTCCCATACATCTTAATTTTTTTTTTTTTATTTTTTTTTTATTTTTGCTTTACTACTGCCTAGAATTTCAAAAAAAAAAAATAAATAAATAAATAACCATGTCAAAAAAAAAACCCGAATTGAGCACAAATGCACAATACTGCCTACAATTCAAAATTGTGATAGAATTGAATACTAGGCAATTCCATCACTTCCATTTTAATATTAATAATGTGTATCAAAATTGTCTATCAATTCAATTAATGATTAATTAGCTTTAATATTTCCATTTTTAGCTCTCTTATCTAACATTATAGAGGCGCTTGCTACTTGTTAGCTTTTGCCTATCATTATTATTACCTTTTTTTTGCTTTTAACATAAAAACTACTCGTAGTTTTTAGGCCCGGGCGATGTCCCGGATTTTGTAAGTTGTGATTCAATTTTTTTGTAATTAGATTTGTTACTCATATTGTCATTTGTTGCATATTAATATTTTTTGTATTCAAAAGATTGCATAAAAAATTACATATCTTGGTGATAATTAGTTGTAGAATTAGAGGTGTGTTCAAATTTTACGGAGAACATTTTTTTTTGTAAGTGACATGGCGTAGTGAGCATGTTGCATGGGTGACATGGCGTAGTGAAATAGGTTTACGTGACACGTGGTCATTCTTAGGAACATCTTTTAATATATAAGTATAGATAGATGTTATTTCTTTTAATTACCAGCATGAACATAAATTTATTTTTATTGTTTTTTTAACTATTACTGTAGTATTTTTGCTCTACGCACAAAAGAAATGGAAGCAGTGAAGGGGTATGATAGTCTTTTCCAACTAAGCAGGAGTGATTACCAAAGCTTTGTTTGACTACAAGTTCAAAATGAAGGATTCCATAACAGTGGTTTGCAATAAATAATAATTTATAATTTCAATTAAAATGAGCAAGGAAGATTCTTATATAAATTATTGCAGTAGTCTGACCCTTAAAACATAATTACTGGTGTCAGTTCTCATTTTTGAGAAGAGTTAACAGGAATGTCCTAAAGAATGCAGCAGGATTACTGTACTAAACTGAGAGCCTTCGTATATGGACAATATACACATACATTGAATGTATGTGGTCCCAACATACATTACCAATTAAAAATTGACAACTTATAATTAGCTAAAAAAAATGAGAAGGAATATTAAGAGGGAAAATTTTTGATTTTTGGCGCCATTTACCATAAGAAGGCGGGACAAATTTCATTAGCGCCAAGTAATTTTTCTTTTGTTACCAAAAAAATAATTTACGTTACTAAAATATACAATTTTGTTACTAAGAAAATAACATCCTAGTCAACGTCATTAATGAAGAGAGATGTTTATTATAAAAATCGAATAATACTTCATTTGACGATATTTTACAAACTATAAATCATAAAATTATTATTAAAAAACCAATGAAATTATTATTTAAAGCCCTTTTTATAGACATCCGTATCGATATATTTTCAAAAAAATTATAAAGTTGGACAATTTTAACCTTACTATGTTTGTTAAATTTTTTAAAGAAGTGTTAGTAATTTATCATTATTGTTACTACAAAAATTTCAAACACACCAAAAAAGAACAATTTATATTTTTATTACATATAAGGAAGTATATAAAATTAAATAGGTGTTAACTACAATTACACAATTATCAAGTGTTGTACGGATTAATTCATACATTGGAGGGTTTTATTCCTTTCTTGAAGGTTTTTAATCAAATAATTGAGAGTTAACATGAAATCACAAAAGCTAAGGTTACACACAAACTTTTATCACTTATTGCTAAATACTCCCATGTGTTTATAACTTATCTTTTTTATTTGCGTTACTAAATAAGTTGGTTTAATTTTTTTTATTTAATTTTATCATATTTACGTATACTAGTTTACTCGTATTATGTTTCAAAAATTTTTTTTACTCATATTAAATATGTGGAAAAGACTAGTTTGCTTATAGTATCAATGAATACAAAGTGTTAATAAAATCAAGTAGTGTTAAATACAAAGTCTTAATAAAATAAATACAAAGTGTTATTAAAAAAAAGGATGCTTTATTTAAAAAAGGATGAATTATATGCTTGTAAACATCAAAATTGAAACATTATTGAGGCCTTTGAGAGTTACAATATAAGTGTAGTAGATTTACTTTATAGATTTGAAGATTTAAATAAATTAATTAAGAGTTTAAGGGCATGTTCACTTTAGCTTAATTTCAGTTAAGTTCAGTTCAGCTCAGTTTAGCTTCAATTAGTTCAGTTCAGCTCTTAATTTCCTTCTCTCATAAAATATTCATTTAAGCTCCATTCAGTTCAATTCAGTTCAGCTCCAATCAGTTCAATTTAGTTTAGCTAAGCTCAGTTCAGTAAATATGTCACTTATTACTAAATATTCCATGTGTTTACGATATATTTAATTTTTTAATAATAAGTTATTACTTTTTTTTTTTTTTTTTTAAAAAAAGGTTGTTACTAAAAACGGTGTCATATAAGAATAAAATATATAGTTTCGAATATTATATTTAATTTTTGTTTTGAATTTGTGTTTAAAACCGATGATCTACCACATACGTACATTTTGTCTAAATATTATAACAACTAAAATAAAAATACTACGTATTGAATAATATTTAGAGGACTTGTTTCAAACTCTATCTATAGACATTGTTCAACTACTAATTAATTATATTGGGATACCAGTTAAACAAAACATGTTACCAAACAAATACAAAATGTTGCTCCGATTGTAATTTGTACTGTAGTCAAGTTTACCGTGATTACCAAATATACTTTTATTGTTGAGAAGTGACTTTTATGTCACTTTTAGGAGTGTTTTTAGAGTCGTTTTTTCGGCTTATTTTCCAATAATTTAGCTCATTTTATTCTTTATTTCTCTTATTCTCGTCTCTTGTCTCTTAATTCGAGTATTTTCGTAGTTTTTAATAGTTTTTAGTTAATAATTCTTAATTTCTCTCATTTTCTTATTTTATTTTAGTTTAACCTTTTATTTTACTTCATTCTATTTTATTATTTTAGTCTTTGTCCCGATTCTCCCTCGTGTTTGTTTTTGGTTGTAGGTGTTTTCGGATCCTTGGTCGAATTACAAGTTCAAATCGAGTTCAAGGTACGAGGTTTGAGGCAAATGCTCTATGCTACTAATTGCCCTCTTGCTAGCAGCTTATCCTACACCCCACAATCACCACACCTTTCACTATCCTACACCACACCAACATCACCAATTCCCCTGCATTTCCTCCTCTCATAATTCCCCTGCATTCATCAATCGCCCAACTGCAACCACCTCTGCCCCCAGCCAACTCGCAACATTAGCCACTAATTGAATTCGGCAGCCCTTTAATTCACAGTCACCACAACACCACCTCCAATTACCACCGCAACAACCACTACAGCAGCATCAATTCGCTCCAATTCATCTCCATTCACCACCGCAACTAAACTGCACCAATCGCAACAAATAGGCAGCAACAGAGCAGCGGCAGCCTCGCCAATTGCAGCAACCCAGATAACCGCGGGGCTCTGTTTTCCAGCCTTGTCCAAATTTCGGTTGATTTCTTGGATGAGAAATCACCAGAAAATAAGATCATGAGAAAATACTGTTGATTTCTCCTCTGCGCTGATCATCGAGTGTTGCATAAATGTTTTTTTTTTTTTATTTTTTTCGCAAAAAAAAATATTAAATTAATTGCATTGGAAATGACAATTAATTTAAAATTCAAACCTCTAAATTTTTATTCGAATTTGAATGAAAATTGAAAACTAATGGATTTTGGGCCCCTACTAAAGAACCAATAAAATGCTACTATGTCACAATGTATGTGGGAGCCACATACATTCAATTCATGTGTAGCTTTTTCGTCCGTATATATATCTACTTCTCTCTCTGGAGTAAGATTAAAGCTGACTTGATTTTCGGAGGGTTTCCCTGAGGCCACTCTTCCATCAGGAGGCTAACTCCAATGCAGCCGCAGTCGTACTGTTCAGTGTTCACAAGCATTAAAATTGTTCTTTACAGTATGTTTGTCAAAAATACTCCCAGAATTCACAAAGAAACACTCCGCAGACATCAGAATTCTGTGGAAGACATGCACACCTAGCTCCTGCGTAGACTACTGTAGAATTTGCAATCTCTTTACAGTATGTTTGTCAAAAAAAACTCCAGCGGATTAACACAGATCAGAGACTTAAAACTGGTCATTGTTTCTTTTTTTTTTTTTCCTTTTTTTCTTTGAAAGAGTCATTGTTTCTTCAATGTACACAAGTAGCACATTTTATGTCTGAATTGTGCAGGTGTGAACATTCATACCGGCATACCGCGAACTATTTAGGTTAAAAAAGAAGCTCAAAGTTTCACGGGAAAGGAAGTAGGGGTGCTTTTGTAGAGGCATTCATGTTCCAGGGCAGAAACACAAGAGAAAGCATAAAATGAACATAATGTGGTATCTCAAAAACTACATTGTACAAAACTACAAACAGCTTTCAAAGTCATCAGACATAGAGGACCATTGACAGTATGCCAACACCAACTAGCATTGCATGATAAAGAATTCTAATTTCAATTAGTATCAACTACAATAATCAGTTTCTCACAAGATAAATGACAAAAATATACTTATCTTCAAGATTAGGTAAAAAAAAAAGGCTAGGAAAAATGAAGCATTTGACCCGTTCAGCTTTTAACTCCATAGGCATGAAACTTGTACAAGATAGCCAGAAGGAAAGTTAATACATTTGCACCTTTCTGAATGTTGAGTGACCGCATGAAATGACGTGCCAGGCACAATTTGTCAAAATCTGGAGCTGCAGCTATTTGATGCAAATGTGTAGAGCCTTAAGTTTTCAAGGTTACCTCCAAAATTAACCATAAGAATTATCTCCAACTGGCTGAAGCCTTTGAATTTGAATTGCTCCGAGAATCCTTTAGGCTCTAATTAACAATGGAAATCAATGATCAGGGCAAAGTTCTAATTTGCTGATACTATCATTTTATGAACAAATGAAGCAGCAAAGGCTTACCAGTCGCTTAAAGGATGTTTTAGTCCCAACTTTCTTTGTCTTCTCTGGATCTGATTTGGCACGATCAAGTGCCTGAGACACAAAAGGTAGATCCTTTAGATGTTACTATGCATGCGGGAGAGAGAAACTAAACATAACTGATTACTTTCTTATGTTGTTGGCTAAAAAAGAACCAAAATAATTACAGAACAAGTATACAGCTTTACAACAGGGTCTACACATTTTCTCCCCTTCTGTTCTGGGTTTTTTTATGAGCACTACACTTGCAGAAGCAAGGGTGCATGCATCAAGGCCATCAACTCCTTTCTGGCTTTGTGCCTCAACATAGGTGCCAACATGCCAGGTGGTAACTTCGTAAGAGAAACCACTCGGCAATACGCAAAGCTAGTATGCTAATATCAATATGCTATTGTGTACTCATACTCTTTATTATACCTCAAAAATCTGTCAGATTCTCAACACTCCAACATCGGTACGGACTGTTGAGCACGTCAACAGTTCATGTTAGGCCAAATTTAATACTTTCTCCGTTTTAATTAACTACAGTTTGACTTTCACACTCATCAACACATAAATTTGACCGTCAACATATTTAATTTTCTCTTAGTAAAAACTAAAAAGTTTTAAAAAGCTGGTATTCTAAAAATATACATTGTGACTAATCCAATAACATTACATATTTACATTTGTTTTATATGCTAGTAAATAATATGGTCAAAACTAAGGCAAGTCCGACACACATTGTTTTCTGATATGATTTTTCAAGTCCTGGTAACATCGATCTTTGTACACCATATCCAACTTATAAATAAAATTTAGCAAAGAAGATGCAGGGACATGGAATTAATTAATTGCCTATTAATTCCAACAGAATCCAGTATTAGTTGGTAATGACTCCTCATACTATAAAATTTAAGTAAAATAACATACTACCACAATGACTTGAGGAGATAAGTGGGACTACTAAAGTAACAGGAGAGCTACATTAAAAGGATACCTCAATCAAAGATTCCACGCGACGCCTCATTCGAGTATGCATGAATCCTTCAGAGCACTGGTGGCAGAAATGTGAGATTCAGTAAGATACAAGTCACGGCATTCCAAGACAAATCATTAAAAATAAAAAAGCAAAATGAAAGTCACGTGAGATATGGAGACTTGAAAAACAACATTAAACCAAATATGAAATTTGTCCAACTTGGCTGTTGGATCAGTTATTTTGACATCAATAAGACAAAGTCACACAGCTATATAGTATTCCCACATCATTGGTTTATGCAAATATGCATCACATTACAGTATTGAGGCCTGAAAATAATTTTTCTTAGTAGCAACTTTTCTTAGGGACTAATGAAGAATTATAGCAACACATTTGTTAGATCATGCACAGGACAGTACAAGGCTTCTCAAATGTATCCTAGTGCTTCTGCAGAGATGATGACAACTACTGTTGGTAACGACACACTTGAAATTTTCCATTAATATACAGAAAGGTAGTGAAAACTAGGGGCACAAAAGAAGATAGAATTGGACTTGAGGAACTGAAAAACATTACCTTGACATGGTAACTAACATATGCATGAAAGGTTGACAAAAGCCATACAGTTCTATCAATCTTCTTGCTGTCGACATGGCGTGGGAAAATGACTGAGCATAATAAGGAATACAGTTAGATATAAATACATGTAAGAGTGAAAGGACACATGTTATGCAGCTAATGTGGGCATTACCAAAAGAAACAAAGCCAGCATTTGCAGATAACGCTTCTGCAGGCACTCCCGCAAGTTCTTCAGGTGGTGAAGGTGACCACAGACACGAAGGAGCATTATTAAGTCCAGCACTAGCACTACGACGTGCTTCAACAAATTCCTGAACAAGATCAAAGAGTATCAAACAAGAACGTCAAGAGAGTCCAATACACTGTGGCAATGTTGTAGTAAACCATGACGTCTCCAACAGCATGTACATTCCAGCATATTGTCTCAATCATATAATTGTGCACACTTGACAGAAATTATTAATAGCAATACCTGCAGAAAAGAAGTGGCCAGACATGTATCTGTGGAATCTTTAAATCTCATAGGATATATGACCGTCACTTTTTCAGTCTGCCACAAGAAAATGGCTAATTGAAGTTACATTTAGAAAATTTGTAACAATACTATAAATGAAAATATAGCCTCTCACATTATTTGGTTGTGCAACCGAACAGCTCAAATTCAAACTTTTGCCAAAAATAATGAAACAAAACTCAAACCTGAGGAATAAGAAAGAATGCTTCATTAGGCCGATGCACTAGAGCAACTAATTGATCCATATCAGGAGCAAGTGATCTTGAAGCAAGATGTTTTAAGATCACCCTTAAAGGTGCACCAAGCACCACTTCCCTAACAGAGGCAACCTTCATCAACAGAGCCTGTCTAGTTTCTGAAAATGACAAGCATACAACTGTCACAAGAGTGTCGCTGAGAAGATGGCAGAAAGAAAAAATCATTCCAGATGGACTTGGAAGGCAAAAGTTTCAGCCAAGTCATTGATGGTAAATGTTTACAGTTGACTGAATTTTGAACAATATTCCACATTTAAAGTCGAGACGAAAGCATGTTAAAACAATTATTCTATTTCATGATGGTGTTCATTGTTCAATATATTTGTGCAAGCAGGATATCATTCTCATTGCTATAGACCAAACACACATATTCTACATTCTCCTCTCCACTCCCTCACTCCCCTTTAATCTTTCCAACCAAAACTAGTAAAGTGAAATTATCGTTGGATTTTCTGTCCACATACCACAAACCTTTTCTCTTTATAAAGGCTTTAAGACCATATCCAAACATTATGCATGCAATTACTTCTTAATTGAAACAAGACATGCACAACCCAAAGACACGCATATATACGAGTATTGTAAAACATAGCACATCAAAAAAAAAAAAAAAAAAAAAAAATCAGGCTTTGCAATTCTATTCATGGTACAGTCTGTAATAGACTGATATTACTCAAGTTAATAACAGTAAAATAAAGAGAAAGGTTGGTTCTTTGATTAGCTAAATAATCTGATTTTTTTGGTAAATTGATTCATAAAGAAGAAATAAGAAGGATGGAAGCTTAACTATTGATTGAAAAAGGCAAAAGGTTTACAACAGGATAGGTTAATAGCTTTAGGCTATCACTCTCAAAATGGCTTTAGGCCATGACTCTCTAAGGTTTCCCTTCAATACAAATTTCTGCCTGTCTTCCTTCTACTCTACCTTTTTATACTACTTAGCTAAAGAGTACAGGTTTAATTACTAACTTTACTACCCTTTGCCATTATCCCAATGTGCCAACTAGTGGCTGCAGCTTTAAGTTGCTGTTGCTTGGTGTGGTTGTGCTTCACCACCTTGATTGAGATAATGCTCAGAGGTCTCAGACCCTGTCCTTTCCTCGGCTGGCTGTTGTTTATATAAAGCGTAGGTGTCTTGCTCTGATTCGTTACACAGTCTTGCCTACAAAAACAATTTCTAATAGCTGTTTCCTCTAGACCAAAATCCATTACAGCCAGGTTATATAAAGTGATTAGGAAAAGAACAGAACCAGTGTCCTCTATCTCTCCTAAGAAGCCTCTATGATTATAAAACTCTAGCATAAAAGTAAAGACAAAGGGGCACACTATCCAACCTAAAAGGGTAATTCTTCCCTAACGTAATCTAAGTTGCTGTGAGATTTGAGAACTTTAAGCAAGGAATTTGGATGTGACATTTGAGTAATGTACATAAATGCAATAAAATGTTTCTTTTTTCTCAAATTTCTATACATTATCAACTCCTTGGGACCAAGAGACTTTATATGGTGTTAAAAACCAGCTTCTTGATAGCAATGAGGCACTTTGACGAAAAAAGTGAAGAAATTATAATCTCAATTAAGCAGGTCAATACGCAAAAGATATTTCGATAGTGAATTCACTGAAATGTAAGCGACCATATGATTCAGCTAGTCACAGCAAAGATCATAATGACCTTAGAAAGAAGAACTCGTAAGACCTTCATCAGGAGAAAGCTTTGAGAAATTCAGCCTCAGTGTGAGATTATATCCATCTTTTGGAGGGTCAAGCATTTTCACCACTGTTCCATATGCAGCTTTTATAGCTTCTATAGATCCACTAGGTAGTCCTCCAACAAACATAGCTCCAGGAGGTGGTGTTGGTAATGATACTGACAACAACAAGATGAGTGGATTCTTCATTGAAGTCTGCAAAGGCAGCACATATTACATAGTGAAACAAGAAGCATAAATAAGACATAATTTCTCCTCACCAATTGGTATTCTGGTAAACAAGATAGTTCACTATAGACAGATAATATAATACAGTAATAGTCTATGTCTGACATATTTTCTATCTAAACACGTAAGGCCTTAAAGTAATAAACTGTAATGAAAGACCAAAATATACCTGGACGTTGAATCGCACATCATCAAACTCAATCCATTGGCAGTCCAGTTCAACACCTTTGTCAAGACTGTAGAGCACACAATAGATATTAGACAGCATGAAGGCAAGACAGTACAGAAAGAGTCATAAAGTTTGAAGTTCAAATTACATGGAAAACATATATTAGGTTTAGCCCCTGCTTTACCCTTTCCATGCCCAGCTGTAATATAAGAATTTCAGCTAGCAGTTAATTCATGGGAAGACTATTGGTGTTTTCAAAACTTAGGGGCATTGGTAAACTACGATCGAGCATAGAAGGGCATGGTACTATATATCGGCCACATCACTGCTTTATTTAGTTTGCAACAACCGCAAACCATCCAGTCCACAAAATAGGTTCGGCAATCGTTATTGTGATTAAGACTGCATCTGCATCTGAGATTTTAACCATGTCCAAGGGCACAATCAGCTATCTTTGTACAACTCTTAATGTTCTGGTCTAATTTCAACATCTCGTATCCAAGTCTCTAGGGTTTCAAGCGATGTCCATATCAATGATATCATAATTTCCATTAGGTTACAGAAAAGTAAGCATTTACAATTTAGAGCTCATAAAACAGATAATAGTGATCTGTTCAGAAAAAAAAAATTAAATAAATAATAGGAGCCAATATTTGTCTTATTGTCTAGTAAAACCAAAAATTGCTGAAGATAAAGTGTATGATCTTAAAATCAAGGAGGAGCAATTACAACTTACTTTTGAAGGCGATTTGTGAGAAGTTGGAGAAGATACTTTGAATGGGATTGCAAGAGTATCATTTGATTACAACCACTGCCACTTGTAGCTCCCTCAAAAGCAGAGATAGAGGATCAAAAGAGGTCAAGCTTGCAAAATTTGGCTTCAATAGGCTAATCCTCTCCTAACAAGCAAGCTTATTTATGTTTGTCACCACAACTTCATAGGTTAAATTATCAAATTTACAGCCCTAAAAATTAACAAAGTTTGCAAAGGTTAGTATAACTCTTATATTATGAGCATAGAAATTATATTTATTCTAATAGCATATCGTAATATATACAAATACCACAATAATTGTTTGCAAAATTTATGCGTGGCTTTACAACTGTCTAAATAAAAATTTCGTAATGCTACTTAACTTTTTGGTGCCCAAACCAAGTTCATACCACAGCCATTATAGAATTCTATCAAAATCATATATATTTTTTATTTTCACCACTATCTATATAAAACATCTATAATCCTGTAATATAAAGGCTCACCATGGTATTTAATCTAGGCCGCATTACCATCCACATTGCTCACAAAAGTGGTTGCATCCGAAATTTAAACCAATGATCCTAATTATTAGTACTGTCAACTGCTGATAAATAACAACAATAAAGCAACATTTCCATCTAATTGAGATTCAGGGATTTACACAGCCAATGTAGATGCTCTTAGTAACATACATAAAAGACCCAAAATTTGAGGCAAGAAAATAATCCCAAAATTTCTTTCAGCTGAAGCGTGCATTCTAATTTGTACAGAGTATGAATTTGATTTTGCCACACTCGAATATTCAACTTGAAATGGAACCTCAATCTGATAAGAGTGCTTCATCGTCATGTTCAAAATCAGAACCAAGAGTGTTTGAACTCTCACTTAAATCACATTTTCAGATAAAGTTTCAGCTCGATAGAGCTAAAGCTCCCCTAAATTCAATTTTTCAAATAAAATCACAACCATTTCTTCAAATATAATGCTTGTTCCATAACAAACAATTATAAACAGCCCATTTCAAGAGATATAAATTATGATCACCAGAATTTCACATGCCCAATTACAATTTTTCAGCCCAAGTATAATAATCATAATTCATTCACGATTCAGATATAATCATACTACAAAAACTCAATGTGAATCCCACAAATTAATCTGTCAATCATCTAAAAGTCTAAACGCAAGAACCCTAATATCGGAAGTACATCGCAATTCCCCTGCATAAATTAGTCAAAAATTGAAAACCCTAACACCCAAAAATTCTATCGATTAAGCCAAATTAGCAAAGTATAATTATCCCCAATTCACCGTCGAAATCAACCAGAAACCAAGTAATCAACACGTCAAATGATCAAGGAATCAAAATTGAAAATGTAATCGATAAAAAAGAACGTCACATTTTTATTTTCTTATTAAACAAGAAAAAAAAAAGGGGGGGGGGGGGGGGATTATAATGATTAATGAACAGAAAAAACAAAGGGCTTACCTTGGAAGAAGCAGAGAGGTTGTGAGAAAGAGATACGATGAAGTAGAGAACTAGAAATGATGAGGTATGAGTATGACTCGTATGAGTAGAGAGGGAAATGGGTCGAACCAGCACAAGGACTGGTTAAGTACAACACGAAAATAACTCGATCTAGCACAAGTCTATAAGCCAAGCATGAGCCGCATGACACAAGAGTTGGCCGAGCAAAGCTACCCGAAAAATCGAAAATCCGAAAAATCGATCCGTAACCGTTTCGAAAATTAGGGTACCCGATCCGATAACTTTAACGGTGGGTCGGGTACCCGTTCCGATAATTTGTTATCGGGTATAGTTATGGGTATCATTTTAAAATTAACGGTTACCCGATCCGATATGATAAACATTTTATTTTTTTTTGCTTTTTTCCCCTACTTAAATCTATTAATATAATTCTAAACTTTTACTTTACTTCATAATCACTTTATAAAATCAATGATTAGTAATATTATTAATAATTTGGTCAAGATCATATGGTATTGTTTTTAATTAGTTGTAAATTATGTCATAATAACTCCATAATTAAGTTTAATTATCATTATTGGATATCTTATTGGGTACCCGATAACCAATCCGAAAATCTAGGTACCCGAACTTATCGGTTCCGGTTATGGGGTATCACTTTTAGTGATTTTGGTTATCAGGTACCCGAACCATTAATACTAACGGTACGGGTACCCGTCCTATGCTCACCCCTACAAGAGACACACTGATGAGCCATGAGTACGCTTCATATTTAGAATCAGGCACAAACCTGGCACTAGCAGTGGAGCACGATGGGCCAACTAGGCTCGCTTTTTACTATTGTAACAATGTTATTTAGCTTATTTGTGTGTAATATATACGTAGTATGAATAATTTAATTAACATCTAATAAATTGAGAAATTAATTAAGAGTGGAAGGCCCAATTCATATACTTCGTAATTAGTATAAAATATACAGAGTAGGTGAAAAAGATAATGTTTATAAGAAAATAAAATAGTCTGACCTTCCTTTAATTTTTCCAATCTAAATTGCATAATTAGTCAATTTAAATATAAAATATGTTAGGAAAATATATAATTAATATATCATTTTTAATTTTTTATTTATGTTGAAAAAAAAAAATAATGATGTCATTATTAGTTTTGATGGGAAATTTTTTATAAGAGGTTGACATGTGAAAAGTAATGATATTAGCGATAATTACTTTAGTTACATTTATAGATATATAATTACCAATTTCCCTATCACAAATGTTTAATAACATCCGATATACACTAGACCTGGCAATCCTGACCCGACCCGTAACCCAAAAGTTGACCCGAAAATGACCCGAACCCGAACTAACCCGACCCGAACCCGACCCGAAATAGAGTTGACCCGAACATGACCCGATGACCCAAAGTGACCTGACCCGAATGACCTGACCCGAAATTGACCTGAAACTTGAACTTGACCCGACCCGAAATGACCCGAAACCCGAAGTGAACCGAACTGATTTTAACCCAAATTGATTGACCCAAATTGACCCGAATCCTAAGTGAATAGGGTGAAATAGTGAATTACTTAGTTTAGGGCTTCTTTATTTCCTACGTAATAGGTACTCATGATTTTTTTATTATTTTTTAACGATTTTACTTTATTTTTCCAACTACTTTTTTAAGTGAATTTATTTTGGTGACTCGACACAAACTTCACCTGAATAGACCCGACCCGAAATGACTCGATCTGAATTTGACCCGACCCGAAATTGACCCGAAAATTTATCTTAAAAATTGACCCGACCCGACCAGACCCGACCCGAATTGACACGACCCGAACTTGACCTAACCCGAACTTGACCCGAAGTGTTGACCCGATTTTGACCCGAAACCCGAATCAACTCGACCCGAAACCGACCCGAGCATTTGCTGACCTGAACTTGACCCGACCTGAATTCACCCGATTCGAACCCGACCGGAATGACCTGTTTGCCACTAAAGGCTGCAACAGGAAACAAAATTTTGTTTCCTTTTTTAAATCACACGTGCTAGACATTTTTTTCAAAATTTATCAAAACAAATATTTTCTCTCTCTTCCTCATATCTTCAGCAACTACTTTCTCTCTCTTCTTTCTTCCTCAACTTGCCATTTTCTCTCTCTTCGACCTACGATTTTCGCTCTCTTCAATCTCTCTTCTACAGCCGATTGTTGCTCTCTGCGTTTCAATTGCGAAGTTTATTTGCTATTTTTTGGTTTGTTTACTTAATTTTTTGAGATTTTTGTTAGTTTTAGTTGTTTTTGTTCTTTTATTTTTAGGTTTTTTTATTTTATTTTCTTTTTGTTTTTTGTAGTGTTTGATTCTGCAATGGTGAAGAAGAAGAGTACAAAGAACTCTTCAGATGTTGAAAAAGGTGTGTTTACTTAATTTTTTAATCACTTTTTTCGATCAAAATTTTCAATTTAATTTTCACTTATAAATGTGTTGTTATATGTCAAAATACTAGTGCATGTTATTTTTAGAGTGTGCACTTGATTTTTCATGTAGATTATGATAATTGGAATTGAATTTTGAAGTTAATGTATTTAATTTTGCTTTATTTTATTGTTCATTGTATATAATTGGTTAAAAATTGGTTATACATGTATTGTTATATGTTAAACAACTTTTGCATGTTATTTTTTAGAATTTTGGTTTTGATTTTTTGTTGTTTTTTAAGAGAGATTAAGATAATTTGTATTGATGATTGTATTTACTTGTTTATAAATTGCTTATTATTCTTCAGAAGTTGTTCTTTGTTATTTTTTGCTTAGGTTTTAAGCACAGAATGCTAATTGGAATTGATTTTGGTATTAGTTAAAGTATGAGAATAGGCATATGTGTCATTATGTTGAGAAATCAAAGTAAAGGGGAGTAATAGGCATATGTGTCACTCATATGCATGACAAGGGTCACTTTATGCAGTTAAAATGGTCATTTTATGCAATTAAAAGGGTCACTTTGTGTAGTTAAAATGATCACTTTTTGTAGTTTATAGTTTCGCTAGGGTAGCTTATGAATTGGTAATTTGTGGTAATTTATGAATTGCTTATCTGTGTTAATTTTTTTCCTGTATTAATCAGATATAGGTGGTTCTATAGGTGGATATTGCTATAAAGAGTCTGCTACGAAGGCCAAAGCAGTACCTAAGAAGGCAAAAGCAGTATCTCAGAAGGCTAAAACAGTGCCTCAAAAGTCTCCTAAGGGTAAAATAGTGCCTAAGAAAGCCAAAACTGTGACTGAAGAGACTCCTAAGGGTAAAATAGTACTTAAGAAGGCCAAACTAGTGCCCGAAGAGTCTGCTAAGGAAAAAAAAGTACGTAAGAAGAGAAAGATGAGTCCTCAATTAGAATTGGATTCTAATTCTGACCTTAATACTTCAATGTAAGAGAGTTTTTTTCAATGATTATTGATTTGCATTTGTTTATAATTTTGGTTTATTTACTTTTTTTTTTTAAAAAAAAAAATTATATAGGGACCAGAGACCTTTGATTACAAGGTGTAAACCATATACCTAGGAATGCTTGGTGCGGAGCTTTAGTGTTAAGAAAAAAGATGTTGTTGAAGAAGTTGGTTTTGGTAGTTTATTACATTTAAAGTTGAAAAGCTCTCTATCGTAAAATGCTACCTTGGCTCGTTAAAAACTTTAATGGTGGTAGCTGCATGTTTATTATTAGTAGTGGTAAAGAATTTTTAGTTACTAGGAATGATGTATGTGACGTGTTTTGTTTGCCTATGAGTGATATTCATGTTCCTGAACTGAAGAAAAATGTTGAAGATGCAAGTGTAGACAACCGTATTATTCAGGCATGGAGATCTAATTCTAATAAGCAAGTTATTCCTTTGTCAAAATTAGAGGCTTGAATGAAGGCTTTGGTTGATGGAGGGGAAGAATTTAAGAGGTATTTTGTGGTTCATGCTATGTCTAGCTTTTTAGCTCCTACTACTAATAGGACTGATTCATTGAAGTTGCTAAAGGTTGTTGAAGAAGTTGTTGAAACAAAACTTTTGATTGGTGTTCTTATGTTTGAAGAAGGTAAAGAAGGCTGTTGATAACTATAACATTGATCCAACTGCTCAGAATGCTAGTGGATGTTTGGTGGTTTTGCAAATTCTGTATTTTCATCATTTAAATTTTCAAGGAGTAAAGGAGAGTTGTAGCACTCCTTTGATTCAGCATTGGGCAAATGATAAGATTAAGAGTCGGATTAATTTAGAGATTAAAGCTGGTGCTTTTGGACAGGAACAATTGGAAACTACTACGTATCCTGTGTCACATCATGCTATTAGCCAATCTGTTGTTGAGAAACCTCTTATTTTGGGATCTGGTCAGGGTGGTTTAAAAGTTGGTGGAGCTTCTTCAAGTGGTACAATTTGCCGCTTTGTTCAATTTGAGCTTCCAAGAGGTGTGATGATTGATGATGAAATATAAGAAATTTCAACAGACGTAAGTGTTTTTTTTTTAATATATATATATTATTTCTAAAAAAAAAGTGTTTTTTTATATGTTTAGTAGTTACCCTTTTAACTTTACAAAAGTTACCCTTTATGTGCACAAAAGTTACCCTTTATGTGCGCAAAAGTTACCCTTTCTGTGCGCTAAAGTTACCCTTTATGTGCACTAAAATTACCTTAAATGTTCAGTTTCGGTTACTTTTTTTTATTATTTTTCTTTGTTACATTTGTTTAATTTTTTCTTTATTTCTATGTTTGTAGGCTACCTATGAATCACTTCTTTTTCTTAAAAGAAACATGGATGTTCTATCAAGTGTTCAGGCAAATGGTTTTAAAACCTTGAGTGATTTGGTTTCCAATGTTCTTTCTAAAAGAACTGTTTCATTATCTTTTGAGGATCCTATTGTAATTTCTCAAACTCAACAGCTACTCTCTTATCCTCATTACCATAAGCTTAT